ACCAAACAGTAAGAGTCCCTCGAACAAGTATTGCCAACGTAGTAAAATACCGACACATCCTCCTCCTCTGTGCCACACAGCTGCTGATAGGAAAAAACTATTTGAACTCACCAGTGAGCCCCATGATCACAGAACTGTTACAATGACCCATAAAGAGCTTGGATTGAAAAACTTAAATAAAAATAAAATGATCATTTATATTTGCATTTGGATTTTTTCATTCTAAAATGAAAAAAAAGATAAAAATGTTTTAATTTACTAACTTATCAACTTTATAATTCAGGCTTTAAACGGTTGTGCAAAATTATTTAAATGCCTCAAAATTGTTCTTTTGCAATCCCAGTTATTGGCGTGCATGCCGAAAATGTTTGTTTCTAGTATAAACATTTAATTCAATTCAAGTCAATTCAATTTTATTTNCTGGAGAGATGGATGTCTGGAATGTCATGCTTAGCCCGCTTCTACTGCAACCAACTCTGGATAAGCAGAAGAAAATGGATATCTGGTGCATGTTGCTGTAATTGTGAAAAAAAATCTAATTGTGACAGTGATTAAAAGATCAAAGTCCCTTGTAATAAGTGGAATAACATGTCAAAGCTCTTCATAATTTAAAGAAAATATCCACCTAATCTTGGACCCTGAAGCATCCAGAACAGTGTATGTTAAATGAGCTCTGAGCTTTTCAGCTGCAAAATAAAGTGAGAGTGAGTTTTCACCTCTTTGAAAGTATTTATATTCTCTTTGGAGCAACAAGCAACAGATTGCCTCATGCTTCAGAGGCAGTTGAAACATTTTTCTGGCAGCACTTGTTTTTTTTCCCCCTCTCAACAAGAAATGGCATGAGGCATTTAGATCATGATTATTAAAACTGATGCATTTTTGCAGATGCCTCGTTATAGAGAACAGCAAATTCTCTAGATATAGATTTCCTGAACAGGGATATAATTTTGTCCTATGCAAGGAAGTGTTCCCATTTTGATAAACAGGTGCTGCAGGCGTTAAATGCCAACTTGATCTACTTGAATTTGAACTGAACATGCTTGACGTGAATGTCAGTGGTGATATTTTTTGATAGCACATCTCACACAGTTATGGGCTCGTGGGTTGACCATTCAAAAGGTCTCACAAGTCTGAGGGCTTTGCTGCAACATTTGTTTGAGTTCCCCTGAGAAAAGTCAAGCAGCACTACTGGCTTTAATTGGTACCGTTGAAGTCTGTTTCATTATTGCAAGTTCATTTGCAGATTCTTAATTTAATTTGAGATTTAGATTTAAACTGCAATTGAACACTGCTGCTTAAATGCATAGCACGAGTTATTGAACCCAATTCATTCTTGTTTGATGTAATGGCCAATGATTGGACTTGACTAAGTAGAGACATTAATGCTGTAATGAATGAAGTAACAGGCACGGTGCTTATCGGCACATTATCATTATGCTTCTGTGTCTTCTCTCATGTATAAACTGTAATCATGATGAAAAGAAGACAAAGGACCTGGCTTGCATGTAGCAAGTAATGTAGTGCTCCTGCCATCTGTTGGTGAGCTACATGAACATGTGAAAATGTCAGGTTTCAGCAGAAAGGCCAGCGCATGAGCAGGGGTTTCAAATTGTGTTGTAAAAAAAAATGTTTATTTACTTCCGGTAAGCTAAACACTAAATGGCAAAAAATATATGGACACTTTATCTTAACACCCATTTGCTTGTTGACCATTTCATTTTATCAAACATTTCTTTATGAAGCTGGTTAGGCTTTGTGCACAGGAGCATCTTTAAACAAGAAAAGTGACGTTTTGGTAGTTTAGACAATGTTGTGCCTCATTGAAAAGCTTTCCTGAATTGGAACTAATGACTTAAATCATAACACGTCTACATACTTTTTGGACACATTTGTTTATCTTGTGTAAGTTTTGCAGCTATACCATCCATCCATCCATTAT